AAGTTATTTTTCCTCCTTTGGTATCCTGCTGTTAATTGATTTATCTCGTTAGACTGACCTCACACTTGGTAAAGCAACCCCCATCCTTTCATGTATTTATACCTGCTCCTGTATTTTCCACTTCATGCATCGGATGAAGTGGGTTCTAGCCCCCGAAAGCTTATGCCCAAATAAATGTGTTAGTCTCTAAGGTGCCACAAGGACTCCTCGTTGTTTTTATTGTCTTCATCGTTATTCTTCCTTCTAAAAGGCTCGCCCTTGCTTCTCCAAGGACATTCAACATGCTGCCCTGATTTCTGAAAGCCAAGGCTGTCCAAGATTGGGAGGGACAGTCTCTATACGAGAGCAGGCTGACTTCCTAAGTCCATTAGGGCTTAAAACCAGCAGGAACGCACCCTTATGCCGTACCAGCCCTTCCCTGAAGATGCAGCCTTATTCTCCAGAATCTCAGTTTGCAACTTTAAAAAAAAAAAGTTGGTCTCTAGCTGTGATGGTTGCAAAGAAAACTTTTAAAACGTGACTCGAGTGTGACTGAGGCAGATGAGTCTTCAAAGAGACTGGAAGAATAGCTCAGAGAAGAGTGAGCTGCCCCATACACCTCAGGGAGGAGTTAACTCAGATGCCCAATGATAATTTACACACACACACACACACCTCAGCAGTGCCAAGCATAGCAAACACAATCATATTCTAAACATCTTCACAATGTACTGTCTCATTTGGTAACTCTGATGCGGGGGCAGGGCTCATTTTGTGGGTGGAGTTTGGAAGAGCCCCGCCCCTCCCTCCCCCCTCCTAGTCTGACCCTGATGCCCATTTATTTATTTCTGAGCTGCTGTGTTGAGACTGCCAAACGTTATGCCAGTTGAGGCCAACTGCATTAATGATTTCCTGGCGGAGCTGGCCTGAGGAACACCAATTCTTCTGATAGGCCACAGAAGCTGTTGTGTGGTAACTTTTGGTCCTTCTTCCTGCCGTGTTCTGGGTTGAAAATAACACCTTAGCTCTCATAAAGTGCCTTTTCATCTGTGGATCCCAAGCACTTTACAAAGGAGTGCAGGATCATTATCCCCATTTTACAGAAGGGAAAACCGAGTCACAGAGCAGTGGAGGGTATTGCAACTCAGTGACAGAGCTGGAAAGGGAACTGAAATCTTCAGATTCCCAGTCAGCTAGACCACTAAACTAGCAGTGAAATACTCTGCAGCACAAATACCAATTTCATGAGTCATCTGCTCCCAGATCTTTCTGAATTTTTGCTCTGCTTATTGCATGTGAGCAATACACTCGTTTTCTAAAGGAAGCAGCTGTGTTGTTGTAATGGCTTTTTTTACATGCCCAAAGGCACTAATTTACATTACGGACTAATGGGCTGTAAAATTTCAGTTTAAAAAGAGTTTAATTTTTAAGATACTTAAGTCTGAAAAAAGATTTTTTTTTGTTTTTAATCTGATAACTTCTGAGTGACCAAAATGATTTCTTTTCCCCCTGATTTGGTAAAAAGAAATTTGCTTTCAGGCTGACACATTTTGTGCTGCAGTCAATTTCAGACCAGAGCAAAGGTGTCGTCAGAATTGCAAATTTATTTTAAATGAGTCTGTAGTCAGCCCTATGGCTTTAGCCTATTAGAGGCTATGGCCTTGTCTACATTGGCACTTTACAGCGCTGCAACTTTCTCGCTCAGGGGTGTGAAAAAACACCCCCCTGAGCACTGCAAGTTGCAACGCTGTAAAGTGGCAGAGTTTACAGTGCACCAGCGCTGGTAGCTACTCCCCTCGTGTGCTCTAGATGGACCTTTGGTCTGACCCAGTATGGCTGCTCTTATGTTCTTAGTATCCAGAGCAATAGTACTGAATGCCAACAGAAAATTTGGAAGGGATGTTAAATCTCACGCTTTAGGACTTTACCCAATCTTGAATTGTTAGAAATTAGGACGAGACTTCACGCGGGAACCAGATTATCCTGCATCTGCTACTGTGTCAGGGCCGGCTCCAGGCACCAGCATTCCAAGCAGGTGCTCGGGGCGGCAGTCTGCAAGGGGCGGCACTCCGTGTGTTTTTGCCGCCCCAAGCAGCGCGCCGAATTGCCGCTGTGGACGGCGGGGGCCGTCCGTGTGCCGTTAGGGCGGCACGCGCATTTCCGTGGCGGTGGCAATTCAGCGGCAGCTTCTATGTTCAGCTGCCCGCGGCGGCAATTCGGTGGCTTCTGTCTTCCGGCTGAAGACAGAAGCTGCCGCCGAATTGCTGCTGCTGCGGAAACGCGCGTGCTGCCCTAACGGCACACGGACTGCCCCTGCCATCCGCGGCGGCAATTCGGCGCGCTGCTTGGGGCGGCAAAAACAGTAGAGCCGGCCCTGTACTGTGTGGAGTTCTTGCACCTTCCTTTGACCCATCTGGTGCTGGCCACTGTCAGAGACAGAACTAGATGGACATCAGACCTGATCCAGTCTGGCAATTCATCCATTGTCAATTAGGGTTTTTTAATGAAATACCTTTGTTGTGCCACGTGGCGCTACTTGTGTCACTAAAGGGGATTACAGTTCAACTGTAACTGATTAGAATCCAGGTTGGGATACTCTTGTTCTGAGTAGTGATTTAATCCACCAGGAGCCCCACTGATTTCAGTGTATGCTTCGTGTACAGTAAAAGTCAACATGAGATTGGATATCAGTCTGGTGCTTAATGTTTGGAAAGTGCATTGAGGTCTTTGGATGAAAGAAGCTGTATCAGCGCAAAAGGGGTTTATTTGTTGCTTGATGTTTCTTTAGCCCTGGGGTAGGCAACCTATGGCACCCATGTCAAAGGCAGCACGGGAGCTGATTTTCAGTGGCACTCACACTGCCCAAGTCCTGGCCACCGGTCTGGGGAACTCTGCATTTTAATTTAATTTTAAATGAAGCTTCTTAAACTTTTTTAAAACCTTATTTACTTTACATACAACAATAGTTTAGTTATGTATTATA